ATCGTCGATGGTTCAGCCTGAAATATGACCTTGGCCAGCCTAACAAGTGATAATGAAATTAAAGGAAATAATTTGGTCCAATATCAAAGTTGGACGATGAAATTAAAGGAAACAATTTTTTTTTTTTAAATGTTTCTTCATACGCTAGAACTAACAAGTAACAATAACGATCATAATAAAAATACATAATTAATAATAATAATAAAAAAAAAAAACCGCGCAGGAAGTAACAAACTAACAGGTGAAAAAAATAAAAAAGTGGACACCCCAGAAGAGACATAAAAAATTGGCTCCTCCTGTTAAACAAAAGGGCAAATTTCATGTTCTGCCCCCATCATTGTTCCTACTCTCTGCATCTGGTGGTGTGACAAGTAAGGTACTCAGACAATGAGCAAAGCAAAGATATGAGCAAGAGAATTCTGAATTTCGAGTCCCATCCCCCAATGACAATGGCGGCAATGATCATTCATATGGGAATGATACATACAGATTTCTAGTGGCAGCTACAAGGCTGGCTGTTCAGTGTTGACGGAAAAAGCCTACCAAAGTAACTATCACTGCCATCTTTCTGAGAGGGGTTCTTCTTTACATAGCAGCTTCACTTATTCTCAAGTAAAGACACAAATTAGGGACTTTGGTTTGACTATTAATTGTTCTAAACACCATACTCTTCTGTTTTGTTTAAGGCAGAAAACCAAGGACTTCAATGGTATCCATCACTACTCTCAACCAATTCTTCTCATTGGCAAAATAAGTTAGTGTGCTTAGTCATGTAGAAGTTTGAACCCTAACTTTGACCCTAGAATCAAGATTTTGAAATTAGTAGGTACCAACTCCAAGTCAAGCTAATATTGGTAAATACTAGTATCACCTAATGTTACAACATGAAAAAACTTAATATAACCATGGAAATCAAGCTGATCTTTGACAAACAAAGGACAAATGTGAAACTATGAAGATGCTACCTATGCCCCTTTGATGGTGTGAGATGGCAGAATATCCTGAAAATAATTAAGACTGTTGAAACTTCAATGTAAAGAAGTTCTAGCAACAGCCTTTACCTTCTATTGCAATTGATGATCAAGGTATGTTACAGAGTATTTTTAAGGATGAAAAAGTATACATAACATATGAAATGAGAAAGTAAGAGGAACTCTTACTTTGCTACCCATCATCCTTATGGGAACAGGGGAGGCTAAACTAATACTTCCTCTTCCTAACCTTGAAGCTGGATGATCGGATAACATCATCATCTGCTTTTAGTGTTTCCTCAAGTACTGCCATTGACTCGGGTTTTGTGAAGTAGGTGAAGAGGAGGTAAATGCCATCCAAGTAAGTGTTACATTCCTCTTCTTTATTTTTCTTCTTGATGCTATAGGATAGAGGGATAACTCCTCTGTTGAGTACCTCCACATACATGCCACCCCCAGCTACAAGCACCTGCAAAATCATCATCACCATTACTAGCTTTACAACAGAATTGCATTACAATGTTTAACAGACAAAGCCTCTATGGTTTGAACAAGCAATTCAACAAATTTACATTGCTCAACGGGTCCAAAAAAAATGGGGGAGCAATTAGTTTAATTTAACTAAAATGTAATGTCCCCCCTGTTTGTTTTGAAATGCAGTTAGGTACAAATTTCAACTTAATTTGCAACCTTCCTTTATGCCTATGGTATATGCCAATTTGAACAGCGTTGGCCAAGTTTATCTTACAGTTTATCTTCCAATATAACTGAAATTTGAAACAAAATAACAAAATCAATGAAGTTGAATACTAGCATTACATTACACCATCCTGCCCTGACCCTCCCAAGGCTTAACTCCATCTCCACTATATATATGTAGTCTAAATTTCATGAAATATAAAAAGAAAAAGAAAGTAGGGGGGCGAGTAATAATAGCATTACCTCCTCCTACTTTTGTGTAAGGGTGAGTCTTTGGTCTCAAAACTGCCATAGTTTCGTACTGTCACAGTCCCGAAGGGCACTGGGGCTCCTCTTTATTTTCTAAGGCAACTAAGCCCGTCCCGCCCCCAGTCCGTGAAGGCGGAGGAGAAGGCGGATCATCGTCCGATCCGAACCCGCCGCCTTGGAAGAAACCAAAACTCTGGGCTTTGGCGGTTAAGGTTGCATTGCCGAGTCCTTTGGGGAGAGGTCTGAGCCTGCGTGGCAAGGACACATGAGGGGATTGGGAGAAATGATGGGGACAAAGTGGGGATTTTGTAAGGGAAGAGATCGGAACTGCTATGTCCGCCGTTGAAGCCAAGAGTGAGTGAATTGAGGGAAGAGATAAACGAAGAGGAAGCAGATAAGGAAAGCTACAGCTTAATTCTAAAAGAGTTTTTGGGCTTGTTAGCCTATGTAGGGGGATTTGGGCCTATTGGGCAATGCCAGATTTTTTATTATTATTTTTGGTTGGAGGAGAGTGGACTATGGAGTTAATAATAATGAACCAATTTTGCAGCCCATTACTACGCCTGGCAGACCCTTTTTTTTTCCTCGGTTTCCCATGAATAGCAGATGCAGTGAAGAAGGTCAATGTAATCCCTCTTTTTATGTAATCCTTCTCAAGCACTTCAAGTTTTGGTAGCTCAAGCACCTTTTGACTTTGAAATCTCACGTAGCTTGGGCAATTCTAGTTTTGGCAACTTAGGTAACTTAGGGAGTTCAAGCTTTGGTAGCTCAGGCACTTGAGGTTTTGGTTATCTTTGGCAGTTTAGGGACTTTGGGCTTTAGCACCTCTGGTACTTCAGGTTTTGGCAAAGTTGGAATTATAGGCAATGGTAGCAATTCAACCTTAGGCAATGTAGCAATCTCTAGTACAATTGTCTCCGGAAGACCAAGAGCCCCCAATCAAGAAACTGTTTCTATTCATTGAAAACAAAGTGGCCAGCAAAAGTGATAAAACAATGAATTGAAGACAATGATAAGCCACGGTTAATCACAAGTCTATGCCAAATGAATTGATCGGTTTGTAGTTTGCTTATGCATTGTATGTCATTCTCATGAGCCTTTTCATAAATGTCAGATGTGGAGATAGAAGGCTCAACAAATGAGTTGCTGGAACTTTCCGAACCGAGTTAGCTTAACTTCCCAAGATCCCAGCTACTAATTTTCTTTCCAAATACCTTTATTTCCTCTAGGAAAGGAGCAGAGAAGAGCTTTCCCTTCACATGTCTAAAGGAAATCAAAATTTCTCCAACTAATCTTTAGATCAATATCGTTCTTGCCTGTCGTTGAACTAAAAATATGACTTCATCAATTGGGCATAAATTGGTTCAAAAGGAATCAGAAACCTACCCATCTTGCGAATCTTTCTAGTTAGCGCTTGGACTAAGTTTCACTGCATACCCTAATGCAATGCAGAAATTCATGATATTAACCTTAAAAATAAGCTTTCTTCAACCTGAGTGCATTTCCAGGCGAGGATTGACTTCTATGGCAATAAGAAAAAAACAAAAACTAATAGATGTGATTTTGCAAACAGAATATGTTTCCTATATACTTTATACATCTACCCACCCTTGGTGACATTATTAACATTTTTTTAACATGGAAGGTGTGTATAAATATGATTAAATCAAATGCAGAATGTAATGATCCAAAGCTGATGATGACATGTACTTGGCATGTACCTTTTCACAAACAGATAATTAAAATCACATTACTGAAGTAACTAAAATGCTTATGTAAATAAAGCTCAAAACATCGATGTGATGCTCTTGAATCCAACATTAAGATAGAAATTTGACTATCATTGGTATATAATGTCTAAACAAAAACACCATTTACTCTCTAACCATAAATTCTTTCACACATGAAAATATGACCATATGAAACCACTTCAACAGAATCACTCGAACATTATTTGAAGGTGAAACCTCTACTAATTTGTTCAACGGAGGATACATGTTACTGATCACACACACTCTAAGCATATATATACTTAAGAATTTGTGGGTCATGTTATAATGAGAGTACAAAGTAATGTTTGTATTCAAGACCACCCTAGTTCTTTACCATTAACTTAATAACCAAAGCTCATCATTGTGCCACATGTCCTGCCTTTGGTTTCCAACATCTACAGAAGCAGTTTCACAACAAATTCAGCTTTTAGGTATCTTCAGACTTTTCATCTTCAAATGCTGGATGTATATCATGGAAAGAAAGGGAAAAAAAGGAAACCAAAATCAATAGCTTATATATATATATATATATCAATCAAGGGAATGCATCATCCTCTTCATTGATGTGAAATTAACTTTGTATAACAAAGATAAGAAGCAATCAGCTAGCTAATTAGAATAGATGGTATTTCAATTGGTTTGGATGGAGAACATACCCCTCACAGCACCAACGGCCAACCCCACATGTCAAAAAGCTAAATTATCCAAGTTACTCTTCAATAGATGTACTAGAATATGGTAGAATCCATGTCAAACATCTTTTCTCAAAATACAAATTTGTTTTTGCAAACAAATGGATCATGAATAGGTTAAGATTGAGGCATGACAGAAAACTCCATACCAACTGCAAGACCTGCACCAAATTGACATATAAATTACACCAAAAACAAACAAAATATGATTTTTTCAAGAATATGGTGAATTTATCAATAGGTTACTGGTACCTGACTCCAATTTAGTCTTAAAGCATAACGTAAGGGATGTTGGCTATGAGAGGCCAATAGTCTCCTTTCTCCTCCAAGCACCGTTCTTTCAGAAGATAACAGCCAATGAGCACGAACCTTTGAAGTGAGGTGGGTAGGCCTTCCTTAGGGAAGGATTGAAGCTGTGGGCATAAATAAAAACATAAATTCTCGAGAGAATGGAGGTTTTGAAGGAGGTCTTTTGGTATGGATTTCAAATTACTCATCCTTATTATAGTAAGACTTTTTAGAGACTTCGGAAGCTGCAAGTTATCCGGAGGACATATGTCCCCAATTTCAAATGATTCAAGTGAGGTAAGCCTGTCGAGGCCCCACTCTAACATTGACTGCCTCAAGCCTTCACCATTGATTTCAAGTGTTTTGAGGTTTAAAGGAAAACCTCTTTCTGGTATGGATGCAATACCTGGACAATCCTTTATGATTAAATGTCGAATGGATGTGAGGTTGCACATCTCATTGGGTAAAGACTTGAGATTCTTCAAATTGTAAATCTCCAAAGTTTTAAGATTGGGGACAGACGACGGGTCGATTTCTGGCAAGGACTCTAAACCTTCACAAGAATTTAACTCTAATTCAACAAGACCGCTGAGGTTGTGCATGAAATCAAGAGGTAAGCTTCTGAGATTTTTCATATACTCAATCTGCATCTCTTCAAGTTGTGTACAATCCTGCAGCAACCTGTCTGGAAGTGACTCCAATTGCTTACACATCTTAATTTCCAGCCTCTTAAGAGCACTTGGTAATTTGGAACTAGGAAAACACTTCAGAGAAGGGAGATTGTCAATCTTCAAATGTTCAAGATTCACTCCCTCAGGTAAGGACTCTAAATTTTCACAAATTTTGGATTTCCAACCTTTTCAGAGTGCTGGGTAACTTGTCTCTAGGAAAAGATTTGAGCTGCTTACATCCTTTAATGACTAATTCTTCAAGTTGCAGCATATTATTGCCTCCATCCCCAATTTTCATCAATCCATCAGGCAATGACTCCAAAACCACCAAATCCTCAAGCTGAAGCTTTTTGAGCTGTAATGGCAAGCCAGTTACTGGAAAGCGCACAAATTTTTTGCACTTTTGTATGGACAATTCCTTAAGGCAAGTGAGAGCATGCAGTCCATTAGGCAGGCAATCAAGTAGATGGCACTTTTGAATCCTCAGACACTTAAGATTGGCAAGGCTGGCTCCGTCCTCCCACAAGTAAGTAAGTTCATAACATTCTTCAATGTCCACTGTTTCAACAGCTGTCAAGAACTGTGTTATGCTTTTAGGCAAGCAAGTAAGCTTTGGAATTCCCTTAATCTTCAAAGAGGTGAGGCAAGTGACATTTATCATGTTCCTAAGAACTGCCTGATTGCAACCTGTTATTTTCAACTTTTCAAGTGATGGGAGACTCAGTGGTAAATAGCTTAATTGAGGACAATTTCTAATCATGAAAATTTTGAGAAAAGGAAGGTGGCTAGGTAATTTTCCAATCAACTTGGGACAATCCTCCAATATCAGCTTTTCTAGTGATGAAAAACTACCAGAAAAGGAATGATCTCCAGTAAACTCAGGCATGCCTCCTATGATCAATTCTTTTAGCAAGGGTAATTTCCCAAGGGGTGGTAATAAAGTGATGTTTTCACAACCAGATAATTCTAGGTACTCCAATTTGGAGAATGATGGATCGCCTATCCAAGATGGAAATTCCAATCCACCAAAGAACTCGATTGTAAACTTCTTCAAATTGCAATGAGGTTTCAGCTGACAGAGTACCTTATCTTCATTGCTTACATTTCGTGAAGTTTGGAAATCATCAGTCCATTGCAAGATTAACTTATCAAGGCCCTCAATCTCATGAAGGTTGGCTTCACTAGCATCTCGAAAATCTGAGACTTTATGTAGATTTGAGATGAGTAGATCACCTTGAAGTTGCTTCAAGTTTTTCAACCCTCTTAGTCTCAACCCACCTCCAATAACAAATTTGGATAGAGTCAAAAGATTTGTCAGCCCACCAATTCCTGATGGTAATTCCTTTAAATTCATTGTACCAGTAATATCAAGATAAATCAAGTCAACTAAATTCACTATACCCTCTGGCAACTGAGTAAGCTTCTGACAATAACTTAATATCAATGTCTGTAAGTATACAAGAAAACTCACAGAATCAGGTAAACTTTGGATTTCAGTCCAAGATAAATTAATATAGCACAAAAGCTTCAAATCTCCAATTGAATCAGGAATCTTCTTTAGCTTATAACTATCGAAAGACAAGACCCTTAAGCATCTCAAGTTTGAAAACAAATAACGCACCACTTTATTTGATAAGCAGCTCAATCCATCATTGCCAAATGGCAGAAATGCCCGCAAACTCTTCATTTTCTCCATCATTTCAAATCTTTGATAAGTATCATACTCACCAGGACAAAATGAAAAATGGTGAGTGATTTCTAGTTTCTTGTTGACTGACATATCTAGTCGGCAGCAAGTTTCTGATGCAACATCTCGAGCTAACTCAATCACAAGGTCATGCATGACAAAGAGTGATGAATTGCTAAGTGATCGCTGGAAAAATGATCTCAATAACAAATCACGAAAGTATTGATGACCCAAGCTTTTCATTTCCTTCATTCCATCTATTTGTTGTTGTTGTCGAAGAAACCCCTGCGCCATCCACAATAAGACCAAATCATCCTCATCCAGCTCAAAATCATTCGGAAATATAGCACAAAAGGCGAAGCATTGTTTTAAATGAGAAGGAAGATGATGATAGCTCAATCTCAAAGCTGGAAGAACTCCACCTCTCTCTTCTGATACTTTCCATATCTCACTGTTTAGTACTTCCCTCCATTTGTTAGGATTTAACTGATCTCCACGAAGGAGCCCTCCAATGGTTGTTATAGCCAAAGGCAAACCTTTGCATTTTTTCACTATTTCTTCACCAATTCCTTTGAGATGCCCATATGAATCAAAATTTTCTCTTTCTAGTGCATGTCTAGCCAATAATGACAAACACTCATTATCTGGAAACAAATCAAGATGATAAACCCAATCATCTCCTCTCATGCTTCCTGCGACTTTCTCGTCGCGTGTCGTAACAATTATTTTGCTTCCGGGTGCTCCTAACATGAAAAGCCCTTGTAATCTGTTCCAAAGGTGATAGTTGTTGTTCCAAACATCATCAAGTACAAGTAAAAACTTCTGTCCAGACAACATTTCTTTCAGCTTGCTGTGAATCACTGCAGGATCGTCTGAATCAGATTTCACGTTCATTTGATCCAAAATAGATCTTGCTATTCGAAGATCATCAAAGTCGTCAGAGACACAAACCCATGCTTTTGGCCCAAACACACCTTCCACTTTTTCATCATTATAAACAAGACTGGCAAGTGTAGTCTTCCCTAATCCTCCCATTCCAACGATGGGAATCACAGAAAAGCATTTGGTACTATCTTCATTAATTAACAACTTTTGAAGAATAGCATCCTTATCCTTTTCCCGACCAAAAACATGACATTCAGGCACCCCAGTAGTGGGAATCCTTTGTGTAAATGCTCTGTTGGTCCCATGTTCAATTTTCAGGTCCAATGCATCTCTCCGCGCCTTGATGTTTTTCAATCTGTCAGTAATGCCCTTTATCTTGGACATAGTCTCTCGATCAACCTTGAAATCACAGGGAATACAACTACAACCAGTGAAACATGATGGTGCTAGGATAAGTTTTCTGGCTCTACTGGTGCTGGCTTGATCACAATTTTTTAAATTCAATTTTTGCCTCCGTGCATCAGCTTCAACTCCGCACAGGACATCCTCCATATCATAAGCTATGTCTCTAAGCTCTGAAAGCCATGTCTTTACAGCATTATTGGTTAATTGCTTCGTCTCTGCATCTTCAAGAACATCACGTATGTTTGGCAAAAGTTTTTTCCAATTCTCTAATGCATCATGTGCCTCCTTTCTTGATTCAAACCAATCAGTGACCTCGGACTCCAACTTATTGATTAACCATTCCAAGGTAGAAGCTACAAGAGCAACTCCTACTTCCATTGCGTGGAAAACTCTATAGAAATGAACAAGAATAAACAATGAGAGAGGTCGCTTAAGTACGTATTGAAATTTTACGAAAAAGTTCAACAAAATATATACAAACCGATTATTATTAGGAGAAAATTAATATGAAACACAATTCTAATATAAAATCTTGTGAAATAAAATTAAAATTCCATATTTTGTGGAGCGTTGTAAGAAGATTTGTAAAACATGGATTAATTGGAAGCATAAATATAAATTTAGAAATTAAAGCATCTACCCTGTTTAACTCATTTGAGCTTCTTCTCATAACACATCATTATAATTTATATTATTTTATTTAATTCACTTATAAAATTTTATAAAAGACTTTTTCAATGCATAGAACTAAGAGAAGCTCCTCCAAAATTACACCAATAAAACAAAAATATCAATCTTTAACTACCCAAAAAAATAATAATAAAATAAGGAAAAAAAAGGGGAAAAAAGAAAAGAGGAACGTCCCACTTTGAAAAGTGTTGACAGAAGCTCTCATAATGGTGTAGGAGTCTCACTGAGACGGAAGACTTTCACAGTGGATACTTTTAGCTCCCTTTTTATTCTTTTTTTTTCCCCTCTTATTTTATTTAATTTCAAGAGTATCAGGTTCTGTCCATTTTTATGTTGAAGAGGTGGACTAATGATCCACTTACGATGGTTCTTGCCTTCTTGGGCAGGGGTCTTGGGTAAG